AAAGAGAGAGAAAAAATTTCTTAAAACACAAAATCCCAGATACACGAAGTACAAAATCAGGGGAAAAACAAATTACTCATAACCGCGGAGGAGAGAATCGGGAAAGCTTGAAGATTGCAGGAAGAATCGCCGGCGAAAACTAGGATTTTTTGCAGAGAGGGCTGTGAATGCAAAGGAATTTGGGGAGAATGAAAGCGGAAAAAGTCCGAAATTTTACTAAGTGTTGATTTTATACTCTGAGGAGTCCAATAGGTAGAAAGATGAAGACCGTTAGATTAAAGTTAGATCGCACGGCGGAAAGCATTAAATTGCACGACACTCTAAGTGGGCGCGTTGTGCGAGGGGGCGTCATCATTAAAGTACCTGACACACGCGAACAGAAGCGACGCGTGGCAGGAAAGCAGATGAGACAATAAGGATATGGGACAGACTACTTTATGCCTGACAATTAATGAGAATTTATTTGAAAAGATAAGCGGGAAACTCGCCAGCCGGTCGATATCTGAAGACGAGCCATCCCAGAGGTCAATAAATACCAATTCACTCTTAGATCGAGTTACTCAGACTCGACCAGAGTGGGGGGGACTAGATGATATGGGATATTATATAAACAAGGCTAAACCGGTCTGCTTGGCCGGTCGAGAAGGTTAAACCAGGAGGGAGCCGAGCCAAAAGGCGGGAAGATCGAACATTCAGGGAATCGACCAGGCAGGTGGTCGACCAACCCATCACACGACCAGACAAACGATTGAGTGACCCATCGCTAGACCAATACATGATCGGGCAGCCTATTCGACCTCAACAGGTCGATCGTTTCGAGGAACCAACAGTTGACCTAGTCATGGGCGCGTGTAGCACGGGCGCGCGTAAGAGCCTCTAACTTAATCCCAGGAGAATATTTACCCCATGTGCAGGGGGACACGTGTCAACAATGTATTGGGTGATAGCGATAACCACCTCTGACAGCTCCCAACGTCCCGCGCCACCTCTGACATGTGCGCGGCGTGTCAGAGTACGGACGGGCAGCTTGGGCAGCCAGCTCATCCCTATCCGGGCAGCTTTAGGGCAGGTATCTGACCTCTATATAAAGGGGGTGAGCCTTTCTCCCTTAACACATTCTATTTTCCATACTTCACTTCAGCATACTCATACACATACTGACTTAAGCATTGGAGGCTCTTCACCGGACACAACCCCCGGTGTGAGAGTTATTTGCAGGTTTCCGGCGTTCTACCGGCGAGGACCAATATCTATCCGTTCAAACCGGACCAGGACGCTTACGCTTGCATTAGTATACTATTTTGCTTCAAAATACGATGGGGCGATAAATATCTGTTATCCACATCAAATAATGGTGTCGTGTTCGAAAACAAGTCTTTCTGGAGATGTTGCTTACATCTTCGTACTTGCCCCTATTTATCCTTATTTTTCTCGACTTTCTTAAACGTGTACCATTTTGCTTCAAAACACGATGGGGCGATAAATATATGTTATCCACATCAAATAATGGTGTCGTGTTCGAAAACAAGTCTTTCCAGAGACGTTTCTTACATTTCGTATTTGCCCCTATTTACCCTTATTTTTCTCGACTTTCTTAAACGTGTACCATTTTGCTTCAAAACACGATGGGACGATAAATATATGTTATCCACATCAAATAATGGTGTCGTGTTTGAAAATAAGTCTTTCTGGAGACTTGCTTACATTTTCAGACTTGCCCCTATTTACCCTTATTTTTTCTCGCCTTTCTTAAATGTGTACAATTTTGTTTCAAAATACGATGGGGCGATAAATATATGTTATCCACATCAAATAATGGTGTCGTGTTTGAAAACAAGTCTTTCTGCTTACATTTTCGTACTTGCCCCTATTTACCCTTATTTTTCTCGACTTTCTTAAACGTGTACCAATTTGCTTCAAAAAAAGATGGGACGATAAAATATATGTTATCCACATCAAATAATGGTGTCGTGTTTGAAAACAAGTCTTTCCGGAGACGTCTCTTACATTTTTCGTATTTTCCCCTATTTGCCCTTATTATTCCTCGACTTTCTTAAACGTGTACCATTTTGCTTCAAAACACGATGGGACGATAAATATATGTTATCCACATCAAATAATGGTGTCGTGTTTGAAAACAAGTCTTTCCGGAGACTTGCTTACGTTTTCGGTCTTGCCCCTATTTACCCTTATTTTTCCTCGACTTTCTTAAACGTGTACCATTTTGCTTCAAAATACGATGGGGCGATAAATATATATTATCCACATCAAATAATGGTGCCGTGTTCGAAAACAAGTCTTTCCAGAGACGTTGCTTACATTTTCGTACTTGCCCCTATTTACCCTTATTTTCCTCGACTTTCTAAAAAGAGTACCATTTTGCTTCAAAACACGATGGAAAGATAAATATATGTTATCCACATCAAATAATGGTGTCGTATTCGAAAACAAGTATTTCCAAAGACGTTGCTTACATTTTCGTATTTGCCCCTATTTACCCTTATTTTTTCCTCGACTTTCTTAAACGTGTACCATTTTGCTTCAAAACACGATGGGGCGATATATATATATGTTATCCACATCAAATAATGGTGTCGTGTTCGAAAACAAGTATTTCTGGAGACTTTGCTTACATTTTCGTACTTGCCCCTATTTACCTTTGTTTTTCCTCGACTTTCTTAAACTTGTACAATTTTTCTTCAAAATACAATGGGGCGATAAATATATGTTATCTAAATCAAATAATGATGCCGTGTTCGAAAACAAGTATTTCTGGAGACGTTGTTTACATTTTTCGTACTTGCCCTTATTTACCTTTATTTTTCTCGACTTTCTTAAAAGTGTACCGTTTTGCTTCAAAACACGATGGGGCGATAAATATATGTTATCCACATCAAATAATGCTGTCGTGTTCGAAAACAAGTCTTTCTGGAGACGTTGCTTACATTTTCGTACTTGCCCCTATTTACCCTTATTTTTCTCGACTTTCTTAAACGTCTACCATTTTGCTTTAAAACACGATGGGCCGATAAATATATATTATGCACATCAAATAATGGTGTCGTGTTCGAAAACAAGTCTTTCCGGAGACGTTGCTTACATTTTCGTATTTGTCTCTATTTACCCTTATTTTTCTCGACTTTCTTAAACGTGTACCATTTTGTTTCAAAACACGATGAGACGATAAATATATGTTATGCACATCAAATCACCAAATGCGATCTATGTATGTAATACGCAACACGGTAAGACACGATAAATATTAAAAAGCGCGATGCGTTACATTTCACAATAGTCCTTCCGAGGACATATGCAAATTAACAACATTGCTAAGATGTAAACTATTATTATTATTCGACATATGGGTAAAAAATCCATCGCGATTTATTTCAGATATTTGGGGGGGCCACCTCTCAATTAGCTGTCTGCAGGATCCGCTTTCCTCCTGCCTGCGTGGGACAATTTTGGGGGAATCAAAACAATATGTTGGATGGATAAATATAACGGGACAATATATAGCCTATAAATAGTATATTTTTGTAATTCGTCAAAAACTCAAAATATAGTTATTATCATCATTATGTATAAATATAGTTCTTTTCTAATAATTAATTAATATTATGGGCCTTTAGGTAATTATTCCTAAACATGAAAAAGCCACGTGCATTTACACGAAAAATAATAATGTGCACTAAATCAGCCATAGTCCCTACCAGAGGAAGGCATCATTTGTGGCCTTATTGTATGTATCATCTTTATCATTTTGAAGAATGTTTATAATAATAATAATAACAATAATAATAATAATAATAATAATAAATTGAATAAAAGATAGAAAGTGTAATTTGAGCGTGTGCCACATAAGTATGTGGCTCATGCATGCATGATAGAAAATGACTTTGATCCAACAGATATTCATGCATGATGGGTTTGATATATACATACACATATATTTATGTTTAATTAAAGGTGAAATTGTAATTTTAGTCCTATTGATTTGATCGACAGCCAGTTTTAATCCTAAGATTTAAAAATTTTGCTATTTGGTCTTCTGATGACTTTTGAGGGCTAAAGTTGCAATATCATTTAAATTATAGTACTTAAATTGTTAATAAAAAATATTTGGGATGAATTTTTTATTAGCAATTTAAATCATGTAATTTTAATTTTTTTTTTTTTCAATTTCAGTCTCCAAATGACTGAAATTGCAAGAAAATACTAAATTTACATAATTACGAAGTAAAAAAAAATGGAATTTTAGGACTAAAAATATTATGGCGTTAAACCAACAATACTAAAAATGCAATTTTGCCTTTAATTAATATAGGAATCCAAAATAAAATAATACGGAGTAAAATGTTAAATTATTCATGGGGGTCGGTGCGTGCACTACTTAAGCATATGTTTAGCCAAATACCAAAAGCTGGAAAAATTAAAGACTTTAATTAAGACGGAAAATGTGGCTAGTAATTATATGTAACCATCACTATTAATTACCACTTGAGGGTCACAAGGGGACCTTATCATTAGTTAGCCGAAAATGGCTATAAAATGATCTTCATGACAATGCATATTTTGCTTTTCTTGAAATTATACACAAGTTTTTTTCTAAAAGTTGTTTAATTTAGTTTGAAGACCATAATTTTGGTGCAGCATATATGAAAGGATATTAATGACATAAGTTAGTCTTTTCCCAAACAAATTACACAATTATACATAGATGCTTGAATATTTGTATCCCTCCACACCATGTACTATGTATCAATTATTTGGAGAATAATGAGGATATATAATGAAAAATTGAATCAAAACGCTACTAAAAAGCAACGTTTTATAATTTGGCTGTCGGACCCAAAAAAGACATTTGTAACAGCTATTTATCAAACATTTTTTTTAGCTGATTAAAAAGTCAAACATCTAAATTTATGAAAAAGCTCTTTTGTGAGAAAAAAGCTGAAAACACAAACGAGACCTATAGTGAAAATGAATTAGTACCTTAATTATCTCCCATTAATATTACCACCAGCAGCAGAACGAGTTCCGATTGTTGTAATATAGTTGGGAAAAGGCACGCTACCACTCTCTATAAAACCGACATCCTCCACGAGAAGTTGATAATGCGTTTTAACCTCTTCTTCAGTTCGGCTCCCGACCGCTCGAGCCACATTGGCCCAACGGTCGGGTGTGTCCTTGTCGTACACTGCCAAAGCCTTCTCAAACTCCTTGTTCTCCTTCACGCTCCAACCACGGCTCATCGAGCTTGATGCCATCTCTAATTTTAATGCTAATTATGGATTCAAATTAAACAACAAAAAAATAATCAAGTATTTGAGTATAGTGATATTATATGTGAGATATGCTGCTCCTTTTATAGACTCCAAGGGTGGAGGGAAGGTGTGGGCCCAACCCAGCTGGCTTTGTAACGTTTGCAAGATCTGGAGAATTTTCAGTGATTTGTATGCTTAACAACCACAAGACTGAAATATATATAGGGGCAAACGAGACTTTGTACAACCAGGAGCGTAGCCAGAAATTTTTTTAACCTGGGGCTGCATATTATTGTAGCTAATATTAGAACCTTGTAGACATGGTCATGGGCCGACCCAGCATGTCGGTTCGGCCCAAACCGACACAAGCAGACCCGTTGACCATGGCATTGAACAAACCCGTGGTTTTGACCAGTTCGGTTCATGTACAATACTTTATAGTTTATACATTTTGAACATGCAGTTTTGGTTCCAAACTGGAACCGGAACCCGAGGTTCGTTTTTTTAAATATTATTCTAATTATTTTGTATTTTTTAATGAACCGGACGACCAGTATTCGACAATTCAATGAACCGACCCGTACATATGTTCGCGTCAGTTCATATATGTTCGCGTCGGTTCATGCTCCTCCAACTCTCGGTCTGGTATCGACGGTTTCGGCCTCTAAATGGTTTTGGTTATGATTATAAACAAATTATCTGCTAACATATGTCGGTTTGAATTGGAAAAACTCAATCTCGAATCGCTTATATATTTAAACAAGCCAAACTCAAATAGCTAATCGAACTTGTCGATCAAACAAATAAAGTCGAACATGTTTGCAATCAACTCTGTACGAGTTTTCTCATTGTCTAGGAAATGATGTCGAATTAATTATTGGAGGCGAAAGAAAAAAAAATAAATGAAAATGGATAACGGACTGTGGAATGAGACGAATCGAATTAAATAGCCCGCTGGAAAAGTCTGTGTCAAACTTAATTATCCAGCTCATTTGATATTTGTCAAGTAAACCCATTAAAAATTTAAAGACAAGAGTGTGTTGGGCCACATTATAAACTCAATAGATAAAAATCTAATAAGGTCACAATTGTCATTTACCAATAAAGGATTATCTTTTTTCCTCACTATAATCATCATTTTTCCACCATTGTTGTCAGATAACAAATTTTAACATAAAGATAATCTTGAGTCATTCAGCCCAAAAATTAAATGGGGCTATATAAAAAATTACATGGGGCTAATGGGTCTATGTATAAATTTTTTTAGAAAATAAGATTAGCAAAAATAAGGGTAACAAAAAATTATATGGGGCTGGAGCCCACCCTAGCCTTAGGGTGGCTCCGCCCCTGTGTACAACGTTGGATTTGAGAATGTCTTCTATCTTTTCAATAATATATATAAATAAATGTCTTCTCTTATTCTCAGTAGTAATTTAATTAAATTATTACAAATAATTCTTTTTTCTTCATGATAAAATTGCATTGGTCATATGTGATGACTCTCATTTTCTTCACTCCTCTTTAACCTTTTATATCATAAAAATTTATCAGTGAAACTTTTTCAAGTAAAAATAACAATTAAATATATAAATATACAAAAATATTCATCAATTTAAATATTTTTATCAAACAATCACTTTTTACCTATTTTCGTAACACATTAATTTTTCTTCTCATATTCAGTCATATTATAAATAAAATTTTAATTTCAAGAAAAATCTTATTTTAATATAGAAAAATTACCCAATTAAATTATATCGAATGGGCGATGTGATGCGAGGATTATTATGCGGCACGACTAGACGGGGTCAAGAAAATATTAATAAATTTGTTTATATTTATCATCATGAATAATTTAAGGGATATATTATATTAAATATAGTAATTATTACGAATCGAATACAAATATTATGCAAAATCTGATGCATTTATAATTAATGTATTAATTTTGAAAGATTATTAATATATTGTAAATAAAAAATTAATATATAAAAATTAATTTTTTTTTTTTGGTACAAAAAAACAGGCTAAATTTGTTTATTTAGATGTGTAGAATCCGCCAAGACTACTTAGGTATCCGCCTATGCACCGCCTAATTGTTCGAACTCTTGAAACAACTGCCTAGGCATTATACCGTGGCACCTAGACGCCACTAAGAGGACCCACAATATTTTGAGTCTCTTACAAAAAATATCATATTCTATATAGGAAATAAATTTTTTGTTAACAAATATTTTCCAATGCAATTAAAAGTGAACATGTTCTAATTTATGTGACAACAAAAAATGTGATTAAGTCCACATTTGAGTCTATTTTGGACCCAAATAAAATTTGAAAAGTCAGCATTTATTTTTGATTTAATTTTTTTAATATAGAAAATATATTGGAGCATTATTATTCTCCACATATGTAATTTTGAATCCAATTCATTGTGGATGCGTGTCAAAGCCAACTTTTAGTAAGTGAATATTCTCAAAATCAAAGTACATCCATTCCGTAATTCAACTCTAACCAGCAATTTTCACATGGTTGGTTTATGGGAATGCCCGCTTCCCTTTGATTGGCTTAGTTCCTTCACATACAAGCATACACGCGACTAGGCATAAATCTATTAATAAAATATTGTCATTATAAAACCAGCTTGCAGTGAAGTACAGAGATGAGCAAGATCAAGCCCAAAAAGAAAAATCAAATCGAATCGATGTATTCAGTGCGGTTCGGTTCGGTTTTTTGAAAAGTTCGATTTCAGTGGGATTTGGATTTTGAAAAATCGCACAAGTTTCGGTGCGATTTGGTTTTCTATGCGAATTGTGCAGTTTTAACCAAACCGCACCGATATCATAAAATGTGAATTTATTTTTAACATAACCATTGCTGAGCACGCTTTTCATTTATACAAATTACAAATTAACAAAATCAGTACATTTCTATTCAGTATTCATTCTTAAATCTTAATTCACATACTATGTAGTCAATTTTAATAACTTTGTACTCTCTCATCCCGCAAGTCCCCAGCCCTAGTTTTCGACTCTCAAGCTCAATCCCGTAGCCGCGATCGAAATCTCGTGCACTCAGCCCGTCCGCCGCTCACTCTAACTCCGGCGCTCACTTACTCTCACCATTAGACGCTCAGCCTGCCGACCGCTTGATGCTCACCGTCCGGCACTCGCTCGATGTTCCACGGGCTTCCTCGACCAGCTCTCACTCTCGCTGTCATCTTTTTTCTTCAATCTAACCACAACTCTAATTTTGGATTTTCAGTAAATTTTTGGGCATGTTGATATGTTGAGCTTGTTATGCAGTATCTCTCCTTTTATTTAGATCATGTCCGAACCTTGGTAGTAAATTTGTTGAGGGTATTGGATTCTTAACTTTTGATAATCAATCATTTGGTAAAATTAATTTTTTACAGAGGGCATTTAATTTCGGTTAACCGAAAAACCGAATCGAACCGAAAATTTTGCTTTGGTTCGGTTCAGTTTTTTTCTTCTCTCGCGGTGCCGTTTGGTGAAGAAATTCTAGAATTAACACTAGAAGTAACACTTGAATGTTTCTTTGTTTCTTTCAGGGATTATTATTACTTCTAGTTACTTCCGTTTTTTATTTATAAATTGCTCCCTTCAAAATTATTTGCTAGGCATGTAAATTTCTAAAAAGCAAACAATTGAAATAGTGGAACAAAGATTGCAATTTCAACCGTGTAACTTCCGTATGCATTTGTTCAAAATTGTACTAAATGGAAAGTTTATACGATCAGATTTACATATATTTATTGGACCATATTTCGGAAGTATTGGCATTATAGATTTTCACAGGACCACATTCGCTGCCTCTTAATTACTACCGTTCGACCAATTTATAATTGAACTCTGAAGTGAATAACATTCCTAATTTACACAAACACAAATAGGATAAAAGAAAGAATGTTGTTTTATTACCCCAACATATATCATGTGGTAACATAACAAGAACAATAACCAGTTCTTCACTGATTTCAAAGGTCCACCCTATCAGATGAGGTCTTCTCCCTAGATCAGGATCGAACAGGATGTAATGAGCTCTAAACCGTCTGAATCGCCACGAAAACCTACAAGAACTCAATGTCGGAGGAGTTTCCGGCGAAAAATCTCCGATGTTTAAGTCAGTATCAGGAAAAGAGAGATGTTTTGGAGAAAGAGCAATATGAAATGTATAGAGTGTAAAAGTTATTATATGTTGGTACCACATGCCCTTTTATAGGGAAATTACCTGTTCGAAGTGCCATGCCCGAGTGCCCGCGGTCAGCCTGCCCGGATGCTTGGATCTTTAGTATTTATCTATATCTTAATCACTTTTTAGTCAACTCCTATTCAACTTAAGGTTTCATCTTATCCTTTAAAAATTCATCCTTATCCACTAAAATGTTGAGTATTGAGATATGGTTCTTCGATTTGAATCCCTAGCAGCAAGGCAAGGGAAGTCGACCTTGAGCTGTGAGGTGAGTGAAGCCGATAACGGGCTGCAACGCGAACGAAGTCGACCTCGAGTTGTGAGGTAAGTGCAATCAACCACAAGATATGTGGGGTCGACTGGCACTCTTCATATTGATGAGGGGAGCTGTTATAGTCACCCTATTACTCGTTCTTGGACCACTCTCGAGGCTCTCGAGTTACTTCTCTTCGTCGGTATCTGGTTCTACGGTTAAATCCCTCTGTTGGGGTATTACAACAAACGCAGCGGACAAAAAATACCCCTCCAACAAATATGGCAAGGACTACTCCAAATGAAAATAAACCAACACAAATAAATAAAAGATGAGAAAGAAAAAGAACACAAAAATTGATAACGGAGTTCTGCGAAAATAGCCTATGTCTCCGGACACCGCTAACTGCAACGCCAAATTTACTAAACTCACCAACAAAATACAACTAGGGTTAAATAACCCACAAAATAGGATTTCCTTAATTAAGGATTTCCTTCTAAATAGGAGAGAATATAATAAGGTGCAATTGTAACCCAAAGAC